CAGCGCAGGAGTGGAGGGGACAGCGATGGGTGTCACCTTGCGCGCAGACGGTGGTTGATGGGGCTGAGCTGAGGGACCGTGAGGGCTGTCCGGGTCAGCCCAGTCAGGGAGCTGTGCTTCCCAGCTCAGCCTTTTGCTCACAGCTGATCCAGAGCTGACAGACTCGCGGGCGTTTTACTGCCTGAGAAACCTTCTGACATGGCTCTCTGCCAAGCGATGAACGTGGATGCCTGCAGAGAGAATAATGTGCGGTGCTTCCCCCGGCCTGTTTGCTCAATATTTTTGCCTGTGGGCCAGAAGAGCTTTGGGGACCCTGCGCTGGAGCATGATTTTAAGAAGGCTTTGACTGTGTTGGTAATTTTGGGGGGAGGGGGTTCATGGGATGACTGATGTCTGCTGTAGCTGCCTGCCCCGGGCTTGCCCAGGGCTGCACGTGCAGAGCAAGTCCCTGCGCGAGGCAGCTGTCTTATCTGGGTGCCTCACGTATCTCTCAGACAAAGAGGCCATCTCATCTCAGAGGGGTGCTTTGGGGATGGTCCTTTTTCACCTTATTTTTGTGCATGGACAAAGACGACAGGAAAGGCTTTGGGAAGGGGTGGCCTGGCCATGGAGGAGCCATGCACCAGGTGCACCAGCACGTGGTTCCTGGGAGAAGCATTGGGTGTGCGAGGCCAGGACGCAGGTGGGATCGGGATATGTGCTTTTCAGGCAGTTGCATAGCATGTGGGCCTTTGGCCAAGATTTATAACCACGTCTCTTCTCTAGGTTTATAGTTCCTTGTCACTCTATTAACTCAAACGAGAAATGTTTACATTGCGTAAGTAGCTGGAGCAGTGGATAGTAACCTATCAATTTTCATGACTATTCCCTGGCAAAAGCTCGCAGGCTGTCTTGCAGGACACTAATGCCCAAAGCTCCTGGGGCACAAGACACCTAGGGCTTGCTATATTTCAGGAGGCTGCAGTTCAGCTAATAAAACCACTAGGTCACGAACTGCACAGTCAGGTCTCTGTGGAGTCCTGGCATAAGACCAAATTTCTGCTGATGGGTAGCTCCAGAGGAAAGGATGAGCATGCAGCGAGGGTGGAGTTGAAGGTTCATCTGCAGCAGGCTGCCCTAGCGAGAGGCTGCTTTGCCTGCAGGTCACAGGAGGCAGGTCCCACTGGGGACTGGGTTTCGTTGTGGTCTGGCTTGACGCTGCTGCTGGGGACACCCCCAGAAGCTGTGTCTGGCCTGGGGAGAGGTGTGCAGGGAGGTGCAGATTTCCTGACTGAAACACACGTGTGCTGCAGCGTCCTGCTGTGCTGTAACCACTCCTGACTCCCTCCTTCTCTTTCTCTCCACAGTCCATTGATCCGGGGCAGCAGTTCACCTGGGAGAACTCCAACCTGGAGGTGAATAAACCGAAAAACCGCTATGCAAACGTGATCGCCTATGACCACTCACGTGTCATCCTGACCTCCATTGATGGTAAGAGTGACTCCAGAGTGAACACCCCAGCAAACGGCTGAACCTGGCTGTAGCAGGTGACCATCTTTTTCCCAGTTCTCAGTCGAGCAGGGGCAAACACCAAGAAACATACCCAGCATCAGCATGAGCAAATGTGTGTTCTGGCTGGCAAGGAAGAGAGGAAGGGCTCTGCAGAGCTGCCCCTGCTTTCCCAGCGTCCTGGGAACAGCGTGCCCCATGTTGCTGCTTGTTGCTGCTGGTGCCAGCAGAGATGTCTGTCCCAGCAGCCTCCCTTCTCACCACTGGTCCTGCTGTGTGACTTCAGCTGCCTTCCTTGGCACATGGTGGGACGTGGCACTGTTAGCCCTACCATCCTCTGTCCCAGCACGACTGCAGGGCCAGTATCTTCCTCTGGGACTTGTTGGTGTTTGCTCCCAAGTAAGTGCTCAGACTGCACAGGATGAGGGGGTGCCCCTTCCCATGGGACATCAGGCTCCACACGTCCATGTGCTCCATGGGAGATGCATCAGGACCTGGTGTTCATAGCACTGACCCCCATGGCTCCAAGAACCAGCCCCACATCTCTGGAGTCTGGGCTAAGACACGCTTTTAGTGCCTGCTTTGCAGTCCCCTTGCACACAGAGGAGCTGGAGCCCAGGTACCGAAGCCCAGGCTCACCCATTCCCACTGTTTTATAAATCAGCACCCAACTCTGCATGCCAGAACTGAGCCCTCTCAGGAAGATGCCAGCTAATTCAATGCACCTCTGCTTGGGGAAGGGCCTGGGGCCTGGCTTTGCATACAGGTGGCCCTGGCATCCTTCTTAGGATGGAAGTGTCTTTTCTAATGCTAATGCACTACTCATCCTCTGCGGGAGGAGGAGGGGGTCCAAACGGTCCCTCACAGCAAGGCCTGTTAAGCAGCAGCAGCAGCTATGCAAAGGCCTGGCATGCCTGATCATGGGCAAACCCTGTTAGACAGCTGTGGGGTGAGCACATGGGGGAATCCCTGTTTTCCAGCCTGACTCAGTTGCTGTAAGTAGTGTCTGTGTCTTCCTGGGAACTGTTCCCGAAGCGCCCTGCCAGGTCCCTGCCGCGCATGCCAAGGGAGCCAGGCGCTGCACTCCAGCTGCTGCTGCTCCCCCAGAGCCGCCAGCGCTTTGTTTCTGCTGGAGACTGCTGGGCCCTGTAGAAAATTCCCCAGGACAAAAGGGCGAGGGGGAGACCCCCAGTGTTATTTCCCTTCCTCTAATGAAATGCAGATGCGCTCTCCTTGGGAGCCCAGGCAGCCCATGCTGAGCAGGGTTTGGAAACACAGCCCCAGGCCTCTGCTTTGCCGCATTTATTTTAGTAACTGCATGTTTGCATTTTAAAGGCCTTTACAAGAAAGTCCTTTCCTTAAAGTGGTGGAGGCAGAGCGGGAGCTGGAGCAGCCTCTGCCAGCAGGCAGCAGATGGGGGTCTCACACTGAGGAGGGTTTCAGTGGCGGTGGGAGGAAGGTCTCTGGCTCCTCTGGGGTACTCCCTGCAGGAGAGATGGGAGGACATCCCTGCCTGACATCCCCTGCTAACAGAGACAAGCTAATGAGGCAGCCTCATTTTTAAAAGGTGCTGTAGGACCGTAACAAATAGCTGGTGAATTTAAGACAATTATTTCAATCAGTTGCTTGGGGCCGAATGAGCGCCTTAATATTCCTGCGTGTGAATTTGCCTTTGTGTGCGGGTGGCAGCTGTCTCTCTGCTTTGGTGCTGCCTGCTTGTAGCATTAATGTGGGAGTTACAAAGGGTTCTTCTTTGTTCAAGCACCATCCCTGTCCTTTGCAGGATCCCTGGGAGAGATTCTGTCATCACCCTGTAAAGCAGACTTGTCAAGAGCCTTGTGAACATGCCAGCCTCTTCCCCTGCCTGCAGGGCCCAGCAGAGCGATAGGCACGGGGTCGGGGTCGTGGGCTGCCCTGGAGTAACGCTTCTCTTCCTCTGCAGGGGTCCCAGGCAGCGATTACATCAATGCCAATTACATTGATGGGTATCGGAAGCAGAACGCCTACATCGCCACGCAGGGACCTCTGCCAGAAACCCTCAGCGACTTCTGGAGGATGGTGTGGGAACAGAGAACAGCAACTATAGTCATGATGACCAGGCTGGAGGAGAAGTCCAGGGTACAGTGTGTGCTTCCTCTCTTTTCTGGAGCTTTTTCTTTGGGTGAGGGCAGGAGAGAGGGATGGGAACACTTTACAGCATAAGGGCATCCAGGGAGAGGCAGGTCCAGTGGTGTGGCTCACTGCTGCACCCCAGCAACAAGTGCCTTGTAAGCATATCCCCGTGGGGCAAATGGGTGGCAAAATCTCCTGTCACTGTGCTGCTTGTTAACCCCTGTCTTGCCTGCGTGTCTGCATGCACACCCATCCTTTCCCTGCCCACATCACACAAAGGGAGAAAGGAAAGCTCTGAGATGGGGAGCGTTGACTGTCCCTGAAAGCCTGGGGGCTGTGTCCCAGAAGCTGAGAAGCTGCGATGGGTAGGTGGTATCGGCAGCATCCTGCAGCCTGACAGGGCCCTGGCATCTCTGGAGATGCAGGGGAATGGCTGATGGGGTCTTATTGCAATAACAAGACTAATTTGTGCCTTGTCCAATGACAACATGTATAAACGATCAGCTCATACTGCCAAGATTAGATATTCTGATGTAATAAATGCAAAGCTGCCTGCAAACCGTGGGGAAGGCACAAGGTGGAGAGGAAGGAGCAGGAGCCCTTGCTGCAGATGCTGTTTATGGTGTCTCGTGACAGAGGTTCTTAATCAGCCCCTGAAGCAGGAGTTCATAAGCTGTGACCGAAGTGCTCCCGTGCCCAGGTGCACCCTTTGGGAAAAGCCTGCCCAAGCAGCAGGCAGCTTCTGCCTCTTGTGATTCAGTTTGTTCCTAAAAGTAAAATTTTAGCGGTGAGCATTTGTACTTGCGGAATATTTTAGTGTTGCCATGCCAACGGCAGGAGAAGGGGCTGTGCACTCAAGCTGTGAAGCACTGGTTATTTTTAGCCCAATAAGCTTATTCTTGAGAAGCATAAACTGTCAAGTTTGGGTTTAGTTAAAACTTTTGCCCGCATGCTCTCCCTCCGTTGCAAAGCTTTAGCACCAAAATGCTCGCAGGGGTGTCCTAGCCCACGCTGGCTGGGAGGAAGCAGCTGTAACAACTGATCACCGTGGCGAAACAGATCTGCTTTTCCTGCATGTACAAAAATAGGCCTTGTCCATGGGCTTCCCCGGCTCTACAAATGCCCTACAGCCTGCAGGGAAAAACAGTGTTTCTCAGAGACGAGCTGCCTCTAGAGATCCAGCCCCAATGGATCCAACCCCAGCTTTGCACTGTGCTTCCCACTGCGCAGCCCTGCCTGCTGTGTCCAGCAGCCACTGTCACCCACCCCAGCCCAAACAGGAGGTAAATTAACCTGACCTGTCCTGTGGCTCAGGGCTTGGCACATGGGCTAAGCAAGATCAGAAGCTGCTGATCAGCTGCTCTCTGCAGCTGGGGGTTATATGGGGACTTTTTTGTGCCTTCACATTTCAGTGGTGGAGCATATATTTGAAGTATGAGGAAAAGCCCTTTTAGGTTGCCAAGTAAATCCATGCCTGGAGTCCTGACTCACTTAACTTCTGGGCTGCTTAGTTATGGGAAGGCACTCCAAGGTGCGTGTTTCTCGATGATAACGGGTTTCCTTTGACCCCACGGGCACTTGTCTTTGCCTGAGATGCCTGTGCTGCTGAGCTGTGCGTTATCTCCCCCCAGCATGCTCCCTGACATGTCATCCTGCAATTACCTCCTGCAGTATTGGTTTCTGTCCCAAACACAGTGCGTGTGGTCAGGCTTTTGGTGACGGGATGGGCACTGTGAATCCCTGTCACGGGCAGGGGATGACCAGAGCCCTCGCAGAAGCTGCAGGCAGCCTGCCTGACTGGGCGTGCTGCCCAGGGGCTCTAGGCTGACCCAACTGGACCCAGACCCCAGTATTCGCTCCCCGATACCGCCTGCCCATGCCCTGCTGGCTCTTTGGCACATCCCCAGCGCTAATGAGAAATGGGCAGTTTTCTCAGGCACGGCGGGAGAGGCAGGTTGCCAGGGGAGGCAGTGGGAGAGCCCGGCCACTCCCGAGTCGAACCAGCCCTGCACAGCAAGGGCTTTGCTGGATGTGTTTGCTGGACCCGGTAGGTGCCTCAGGGCACCCACTCACAGGAGGGCCCTGGTGGGGAGCCTGGGATGCGGATTTGCAGGAGATTATTTTCTCTGGGTTTTTTGTTGGCTTCTCCAGCATCTTCCAAGGCAGGATGGCTTTCAGCCACCTTCCTGCTCTGATTTTCCTCATGCCCCTTTCATGATGGCTAGAGCTCACTCAAGAGCACAACTTTTTGGGACCAAGGAAGATCCCAGTCATTGCCTATTCCTCCGAGCTTTTAGCATGAGTGACTGTTTTACAGTTCACTCCAGAGCCTTCAAACCACATGTGAATGCAACCCCTTGGGTCCCTGCAGCATTGCTGCCTGCTGATGTTCACGCTGCTGAGGGACAGCACTGCTCCAGGCAGTCACATGGTGTCACGGCGTTACCCACGGGTGACCTTACTTGAAAGTCCCCTTGCCCAGGGCCTTCGGCGCAGGCACAGGACTGTCTCTCCAGCTGCGGAGCCTGGGGTGGGCAGCAGGGCCTGATGGAGAGATGCCCAGCGCAGAGCAGGCTCTGCCACCTTCCCAAGCGAGCTCCCCAGGTCCCCCTCGGCAGTGTTGTGTGTAGATAAGCCGACTGGGACCAGCAGCAGCTTTGCAGCCCAGTAGGGGTGACACTGCTTTAAAGGGCTCCTGAGCTGCAGGAGGAAAAAAAATCTTTAAAGAGCATCAGCTTTTATGGTCTGCAATTTCAGCTGGCTTGATGGTCCAAATCATCCTCCCTTTTTCATGTTTTCACAAAGTGAGGCACATAAAGGATAGAAATGGCTGGATTGTGCAATTTAGCTGCCTTCAAAGCTTTACAGTTTCAGAATCATTTGGTGGCAGTTCAGAAACACACATTGTAGATTAGCTTTCCTGAAGCTGTGAGCGTGGCATATCCCTGTCAGGGTGTGTTGCATGAGAGAGGTATTAAAGCAGGAGTTCTCCTACGCTGGGCTATCCCCAGAGCCCAGCAGCGTGATGGCTAGTTCTGTCCCAGCCCAGAGCACCAAGCAGCCATCCCTGGGGCTTGATTTCCCCTGGCACTTTGTGTCCCCAGGCAGGGGTGCAAAGAGGCTGGTGCTCAAGGGCTCTGGGGAAGAGGGGCCTGGCAGCCACGTCCCGCTCCAGCCCTCTCACTGGCAGCGATGCCATCTGGAGCTTGTGAGCGGGGCCAGGAGCAGAGCACAGCTCTCGAGCTGAGGAGAGGTGCCCGGCTGGTCTTGGGCACAGGGCATCAAAGGGGAGGGACAGGAACCACTCAGCAAAGCTGCAATAAATGGCCGTTCAGGACATTACTGTGCTCCTTAAGTTAATGAGAAACAAGCACTGCCAGAAGAAAACATCTCTTATCTGCTTTAGTGCCACAGTGCATCAGCTTCAGCATAAAATTTACAGAGCTTGAAAATGGGGCATAAACATTATGGGTAAATTTGGCAGAAAATGTGACTGACTCTTATCTGGTCATGAATAAATAATTTTCAATTACCATCCCAGGCGCTGCTATTATCCCGGACAGGGAACTCCTCTGAAGTTTGTTTTGTGCTCGAGCACACATGGCCTTGTAGCATGTGGGTGGCAGGAGGGGACCACTCTCCCCGAGGTGTGGGCTCAGGCACAGGGACATGCTGTGCTGCTCCCCTGCAAACCACACCGAGGGCAACACAGCAAGCAGCTGTCCCCAGCATTTGCAGGACACCAGTCTGTCCTCCCCTCACCTCCTTTAAAGAGGGGTCACATCATCCCCGAGCCAGGCAAGGCAAACTCAGGTGGCTGGAGATGCTGCCGCTGCTGCCTGCCTGTGAGGATAGGATCAGTTTAGCTATGAAATAAGGTTTGTGATCTCCGAGTTGTTCGCTCTGCAGCTAGTCAGCGTAAAAGAACGGGCTGCTCTGTGCCAACGAGGAAGAAAAATCTTCTGAGATTTGTGCGGGGCCTGCCACGCTGGGAGCACAGATCCAAAGCAGGGCAGCAGCCTGAACGGCAGGGGGGGCCCGGGCGGGGGGAG